AATTATTAAGATTTATTTTATTATTTCCTTTTCTATCGCAAGTTTCTACAAATTTTTTAATATAGTAGTAGTAACCACTATCAAATGCTATGCAATCATTTTCATTTACTTTATTGTCCAACTTCATACCTAAAAACATTTGCCCATCATTATAATTTCTGCATAGTCTACTATTAGATACATTAACTGCAAATTCATTAATATCATATATAACTTGTGTTCGTAAACCTGAATTCTTGAATTTATATAAATAAAAATTTCTTTTCTTTATAATTTTGTTGTTATAATCTATACGACTATCATAACCATCTATAAATAAAGTCATATTTTTAAAGCCTATAGGATTAAGCTTTTTTGCATTTATTATTCTCAAAGTAGAGGATGAAAACATATTTTCTAGTAATTCAGTTATAATTCTATATATATCATTCTTATTATTTTCCCAAAATTCTTTATAAATTGCATAAAATGATGTATAAGGAGTAAAGTCATTCATATCTCTTATAGATTTACCTATTATTAAATGATATAATAAACATAAACCTTTTTCTAAAAATACATATGGACCTTTATAATCATATTTATTAAAAATAACTATTAGAAAAAAGAAAATGGGAATGTATCCTAATTTATCTACTAATTCTTGCTTAATTTTCTGTATATTTGTTATATATTTTTTATTTCTTCTCTATGCTTATATTCAGAGATCTTTATAGGATAATTTTATCCAAAAATTGCCAGTATTTATAATATATTTTTGAAAGTTCATTGTTTATAATATTGTCTATTTTAATTATATATACAAATTCAGTTTTTTTAATTGGTTGAAATAATAATATAAATAGCATTATATATGAGTTTGATACAGTATATTAAGAATTACAGATATGACTAATCATTAAGATGCATTTATTCGAAACTACTTTAATGATAATCATAGCAATGAATTACCAATAAATAATATGGATATAGAAAATGATAATTATATAGATGATGATAGTTTTGAAGTTGAAAGAATTATAAAACATAGGAAATTTAAAAAACGAATGAAATATTATATTAAATGGAAAGATTATAATGATTCACATAATGAATAGATTCGGCAAGAAGATTTTAATGATACAGCAATTATTGATAATTATATGGATTTACTTGAAAATAAAATGAATAGCTAAAATTTGGTCATTTAATGCAAACAAGATTGTTTTCTATTGCTAACCACTATATCAATTAGTTTATGCTTTTTATAGTATGGTAAAATAGGAATATTGAATATTTCTACAAATTTTGTAATATTTTTTAATAAACAAGCTACACGAAATTGCAAATTATAGTATTTTATGTTATCCATTTTAACAACTGATTTGTTATTATTGAATCGGTAGAACTTATTCCCAATTTCTGAGAATTAATTCTCAACTTTTGTCCTAAAACTTCCAAATGTCTTATTAAAATGATCATCAGTAATCGTTAAGGGCCCATTTACATTTTTACGTATAGGGTATACAAAATTATCATGGCTAAAGTTATATCCTTTTTCATCAGCAAGCTCTGTAAATTGCGTGATAAATAAAGTATATCCACTATCAACTGCCATTATGTCATTCTCATGCATATATTTAAATAATATCATGCTTAAAAACATGCTACTATCTGAGCTATCAGAACAAAAGTCACTTTTAGAAGTATATATAATCATATCATTCATATCACTAACAAATTGGGTACGTATTCCATTCTTCTTAAGTTTATAGGAATACATTCTTTGAAGTGGTCAGTTTCAGTATCTACATAGTTAATTCTTGAATCATGGCCATCCAATATAAGTGTTACATATTTAAATAAGTCGGGATTATGCTTTCTAGCAGATAGAATACGTAATTTGATAGATGAAAACATGTTATTCATTGAATCATTTACTATTTTGTTGATTCGTTTGTGGTTGTCCTCATCCATCCAAAACTTTTTATAAAATGTATGAAATGTGCTATGTGGTAAGTATTTTTCAAATTTTTCACCACATACTCCAGAGACTAAATGATATAATAAAAACAATCTGTTTTCTTTCAAAGTAAGGTCCAGGATATCCCTTGTTTGTATATAAAACTACTAGAAAATAAATACAGCAACATAACCTAATTTATATAACAATTCATCCTTAATCTTATCTATGAATTTAATATGTCTCAAATCAGTTCTATGTTTATATTTATTATGTACAGTAGGCCAATTCCATTCTAGGAATTGCCAATAATTTGCAATAATTGAGTTTACTTTTTTTGTAATCAGTAGTGTATAGTTTGTTGTATCCATTGGGTCGTTCTTTATTTATATTATGGATTTTCAATTTTTATAATCATTGAATGCATGATTTGGTCACATGATGTCATAAAATTGATAAAATATCGAAATCGATGATATAATTTAATATAGTAGCAAGCAATTTATTAGATTTATCAAAAACTATTGTAAATTTATAGCCAATTTAGTACTGCACATCCCGCTGTGCTTAATTAATGTGTATGCTAATTTCATTTCTAACTTCGGTGTCTAGACCGTACTGACAAAAGCACAGTAGGACTCATTTGAGCAAAAGTACCAGGCCATGGTTCCTGAGCGCAAGTAGCTCATTGATGGTGTTTACGTCGAAGATGTGATCTACAAATTTGCCAAGACTCAGCTTTGTGAACAGTAAGTAATCTATTATATATGGGTTTATCTGTAACTATTGGTTAACCACATTTTTAGCACTGCTCACTCTTTCATTTTGGACCTGGGAGATCCCTGTTGGAAAACTGTTTTCACCACATCTCAACTTCAAGCAATTGAGCAACAAAATGCTCTTCCAGTTCCAGCTCTACCTGAGCATCTTAACGATTTTTTTTCCTAGTTCAAGGAGTTGGTATATCTGTATATAAACTTTGTGAGAAATGGAGCGATAGATTATAACTTTAAAAAACTCATATAATAGACTAACATCAATGAGATCCACCACGTTGCCAACCATGCTCACTTTGACGTAGTCAGTCAGTTTGATGCTAACTGGGCAAAACGATGCATTCTTGACACAGTATCAGCGTATCATTGGGGTGTGATGGCCCGACTGGCATCAAGGGGCAAAGAACGGGATATGCTATGGCTGGGGCGAGCTATCGACGATTGCTTCGATGATTTAGGAGTGGAAGTCCAATGGTACTGATCGAAGTAACAGTAAAAAGAGTACTGATATAAGAATTCAAACTTACAGTATTTTTGTCATTCAGAAGCGACCAACAATCTGCTGCATCATCAGCACGCCACAATGAAGAGAGACATGCGGCTGATGACTCGATTAAACAGAAGGTTCACAGCATTAAGCCTGACCTTATAATCGCAAGAAACATACTGGAATTTACTTCGGCTGAACATGGTTATTTGAATGAAGCTGGAGTAGGAGCAAAAGAACTTGTGGAAAAGCTCGTCAAGCTGCCCAAAAATATGAAAGATATGATGCTGAGCCTTGCTGTGGAGATAAGTATCAATCTATAACAATTAATATTACTGTAAATAATAAATTAATTTTAGTTAAGGATTTCACTGTCAAGCTAGCCTTCGTCCAAGTATTCCTCGGCTAAGAGAAGGGATTTGCTCACTATAGTTGCGCCACCATAAGGTTTAAATCAAACATAAAAGAATATTATAGTTTAAACAGTTTAAACATGTTTATACGAAACATAAACATATTATACAAATTAAAAAAAGTTTAAAAAATTATCTTAAACATTTCAAAATAAAAAAATTATAATATAATTTTTAATTTTTTCATATACATCTTTAAACAATGATATACCTTTAATTAATTAAACCTTTTCTAAACAACTACTAAGCATTAATCCCCGATGGGAAATGACGAGGTGGGAATCCGCTCCCTGTGTATAGTAGGATTTTCCTATACTTGTAAGTTACTTTTATACTGCATTGAACAAGAAATGACAAAGAATAGTTTATTGACTAATTCCATAGACCTATGCGTTACACTTCGATCATGGATGTTCCAGCTGGTTACACCTGCCGCATAAAACACTTCGAAGAAATCTGAATACCTTGCGAGCTCAGAAATTTTTATAACATATATATCAAATTTTTAAAACAAGTTTATCATCTGAAGGTTAGTGAAGCGATAAAAATGAAAGTAGTATTTGAAGGATTAGTTTTCTGTACTAACCATAAATTATCTAGCACATAATCAAAGCAACAATCAAAGCAGTGGAAAATTCACTGGCTAGTACCGATGATGAGGAGGAAGGATTTGTGTCCATTTTGGCAAAAAGGCAGCATAAGCTGATCATCCCTTCAGCACTGAATTACATCGAAACACCCACAGTTGTACCGTAGAAAAGAAACCGCGAGGATGATGAGCAGGACTCATCCAATAACAATTAAAACCTAGCACTATATATTTCTCTCCCCATTTTCATCACTTTTTTAAGCAATCATCATCGATGAGATACGTGAGGCAATGGCTAGTTAGATGGGTTATTTACAAAGGGATCATTACGCACCCAACTTCTCGTGCCTGGCCTCCTTCAACGTTATATATTATTATCTTGATGCAGGATATGTATGAGGGCCGCCATATATATTGAGTAATTCATTTATTTGCCAGTATAAGTAATAGCATCTTTTTTACTGTACAATAGGAACAGCAACCAACAATGAATGAGGTCGTTTCCTTTACCCGACAATAGTGGTAATAAATGGAGTAAAATGCATACCATTGTGGAGTTCTTTGAGATCTATTACACATCCAAACTTTATATTTCTTGTTTACATTGACAATGATGGAGTATATCCGCATATACATTGAAAAGAGCACATTATTAAAGTACTACCACATTATCTACTGCTTTTAGACCATCATTTCCATCACGAAACTGACGTTGCTCCCTAGCAGTTCCAGATGAAGGTGGCGGCGCACTATGCATTGTCTTGCTTATGGGGCTTTCCGTTTACGTTTAAAATCACAACGACCATAAAGCCTGTCTGTCCATGCTTGAATCGCAGTTGAGGGTTGCATTTGCTGATGCTGTGGATCTCCTTGGTAATTTTTGACTTCGAGTAGAGACATGTGAAGTTCGACGTTGTATTGTCAATGATGGCTGACGGCTGCTGTCGTTGTTATTGAGCCCTTGTGCATTACTACTTGCTTCATCAGCTATTGTCTGTGCTACTGTGGCGGTGTTCGTCTCTTCTTCTTCATTACTTGACAGTGAAAGAATCCTTTGGCTATGAGGCTTTCCAATTTCTTCGCCTATTGCCGCCATTGTTGCAAATAGGAAGGCTAATTCCGTTGATAACCCGATAGCCAACACAACTGTCGAAATGCTGGTTTTTTGCCAAAAAAGGCTATCAGGTAGCCAAGGATCCCACTGTGTCGTGTGCAACCGGTTGTATTGATGACCATGTCAAACATCATACGACATTGAGAGGCGCCTCCTCGATCATGCCTTTTTGAAAAAGTGTTATTACATTTACACAACTACAGGCACCCTTTTGCGTTCGATTTATATATCTATACCCTTACCCAGTAGTAGAGTACAAGATCGTCTCGCAACAGAAAATGTCAGCACAATACCCAATCCATCTTGATATCTCAAATGAAAGTATACGATGAATTGATTATTGACGCGTCTATCCAAATACTGTATCATCGGTGCTTGCAGATTCTGCACGTGCTTTCATCGACCACGGTTTACTTATTAACTGAATTGATCAATTTTCTTTTGTTGCATATCGTCTTTAGTTAGAGCTGGAAGTGGAAGAGCATTTTGTTGCTCAATTTTTTGAAGTTGAGATGTGGTAAATCCGGTTTTCCAACAAGGATCTCCTAAGGTTCAAAATAAAGAGTGCGCAGCGTTAAAGATGTGGTTAACCAGTAGGGTTACAGATAAACCCACAGATTATAGACTACTTACTGTTCGTAAAGCTGAGTCTCGGCAAAATTGTATATCACATCTTCAACGTAAACATCACCAATGAATTATTTGCGCTCAGGAACCAGGACCTTGTGTTTTTGCTCAAATGAGTCCCACTGTGCTTTTGTCAGGTTGTTTCTGAGTGCTTTGTTTGTTTTCTACAAAATGCATACATTGAAATTAGCATATCACATAGTTGTACGACAGAGCATGTTTCTTTTTCCTTGAGACTAAACACAACTACATAGCTCATTGCATACATGAGGTTTGTCTCTAACGCAGATGCATTGGCACAGACGATTGATCGCTATAATCAGGACAATATACCCATAAAGTGCACTCATTGCATCCATTATGTCGTCATCACATAGACGAATAAGAATATAGCGAGCCTTTTATTCCATCTTTTTAAGACATCAGTTTATTAGAGATGTAACAGTAGAACTAGTGACCGAAATCGCGATGGGAACTATACAATGAGTATTCACTGAGAAAGATGTATAAATGAAGACGCGTGACAACATAAACAAAGACCTAAACATTACCTCAAATCCATACGACCACGGCTGCAGTGAGGTGCCCTTTGCGTCTTTACAAGCTTCTGCATGCTGTTATCGTTAAGTTCCAATTTTCCTCGTTCAGTATCAGACCGTATTTGTGAGTTTCACATTCCCATATTCAAATTAGCAGTAATGAAGCTTCGGGATTGCCATATGGATGACAAACTAGTTTGCACGTACGAATGTTACTTTTAAAAGGGTTTGAATCAGAAAAAAGGAAAGAAAACAAAACCTCCTAAGCTTGTTGACCATCCAAAATGCTACATGAAGATTGATTATATTTGGTAATGGATCAAGTATACATGAATACTACCGTTGACTCTGAGCACTTTTATGCTAATTACAACTTACCTGGTCGGAAGGGACTCTTGTAAGGCAGGTAATTCAATAGGCGAGCAAAAATTCAAATAGAAATCGCTAATGGATGCTGAGGGACTATGAGCCTCAACTACATAGTTATTCCACATCCACCACTCGGACAATACACACAGCGGTCCTCTTTAATAGAAAGATTGAAAAGAATTGCGAAGGAATAAGAGTATCTGATGAGAGTATTTGATGATTCGCAATCAATGGCGCCTTGCGATTTTTGAATACGTCACTAAGAGCCACGTGCCCCAGGTGTATTTGCGGTTTCGTTCTTCATCAAGAAAAATTACGTCAGAGAAGTTTTCAATCACAGAGTAAAATTTTTTCAAGTTCCCACAGCGATGCGTCGCAACTGTACCTTTGTTGTTTTGTCAATTGCTCACCTACAACAATGGCCTCTGCATCTAATAGCTTTGGATACCTTGTCCGTGTCTTTCCCACCTACCTGACCGAAGTAGTTACAGAGACTTTTGACAACCAGCAACAACTTAACGAGTGGTTTAAAGAAAACCCCAAGCAGTATGCCAACTTCATCACCAACAACAAGTACATCTCCGTACCCAAGGCTTCAGATGCACGCCGAAATAATGCCAGCTGTCCTCGGACAGTTGAACGTAGTGTCACTTTTTTTTGTGATCACTCAAGAGAAACATCGGCTCTAGCTGTCCCTGCTCTGCCTATAGACTCAACTGAACCTGCTCCCATAAAAAAACGTCGACTTGTAAAACCATCTATTAAAGTAAATTGTCGTGCTCGATACCGTATTCAATACTTATTCTCAAGCAAAATCAAACTTGTATATCACTGGCAACATCAACACTATGACCCTACTGAGATAACCAATGCTACTCGCTCACAACTCCCCACTGAAACACGTAAATGGATCGAAGAACTTGTTAATAACAGGTTGGAGTGGGATCAAATTTAGGAACATCTGTGTTCGACTGATAAACAACTTCCAAAGTATCATGTATACATGTGAAGCGAAACTTTGATATAAACCTGTAAAGATGCTAACATGTGGTATCAGCTCGAGGAAGGCGAAGGACCGTTCCCAGAAGCCTTATGTGTGAAGCAGCATCATGTCATGAATATCATCGCCAACCAACAGTCAAGATTAGCAAGAAAAGATTTAATCGATAAAGAAAGTATAGTCAAGTGGCTTCTCTTTTTAAAAGATCAAGGTTATCAAACGTTGGAATATATCACGGATTCTACTTTTGTTGTTGCATGGATATCACCACGACAAGCTTTGGTAAGAAAAGATATATACTTAAATATAATGCAATGTTCGTATATTAAGATGCGTATGTGCTTTATAGCTGCTCAAGAAATCAAATGAGATCTGTATTGATGCCACACACAAGACTTGCAAATCTATCATCAATGGTCGGGCTGATGCGTATCTATTTTCTATCGTTGCCAAGCATACAGTTACTGGACAAGGTTACCCTCTTGCGTTTATGATCGCAGATAAAGAAGATAGTGAAAATTTGCAAGTATGGTTTTGATGGCTCCGAGACAGAATCGAATACACACCAACAAGGAGCATGATCGATTGCAGTCCAGTTGAAATTAACAGCATCAGAGCAGTTTATGGTCATCAAGTTCAAGTTCTTCTGTGTCATTGGCACATCAAAAGAGCATGGGAAAAACACATCACGTCCAAGGTACCTTTTATTAGCCACATTATCGTATATTCAATATAACCTTCTTTTTTTCTATGTTGAGTTATAAATCAAAACTACTCTGTCACAATAGCAAATACGAAGAAAAGAAGAGATGAAGCTCGTTCTGCCCTTGGTGCTTTGATGAATTGCAAAACTGTTGTTGAATTTGTGCAGGCTTGGGATGAATTTGGTAAAAAATGCCGAGATACATACGAGCATTTTGAATTTTATGGCTATGTGCTGGACTATTGGTATCCTAAGCATCATCTTTAGTGCAAGGCTTGGAGAGAGGTACGTTTAAGGCTCGTTTTAGCTTTATTTTGTGCTTCAATGTTATTTACGGTTGTATATTTAGAATGCGTCCTTCCATACAAATAATCTGATCAAAAGCTGGCATTCCAAACTTAAACGCAAATATCTTCCATACAGTCGCAATCATTTTGCTGATCGTGTAATCTATGTGTTGACGCAGTTGGTCGAAAATGACTATCGTGCTCAAGTCCTGCGTGTTTTAGCTGGTGTTGAAGAAACAACAGCGACTAGAGAAGCTCAACAAAGAAAAAAAGAAGCTTGCAAAAAATCACCAGGTAAAGCTGACTGGATGATAACTTTTCATGATGATCTTGTATGTATCGTTTTTGTATGTGTGCGTTTACTTTTACAATTGCTAATTGTACTGTGGCAATAGGTTACCTGTCAATCGTTTACTACACACCCGGGCAAGAACTTTTCAGAATTGGAAATACTTTTTATGGTTAGACTCATGCAGGTTCACTAAAATTGCCTTTTATGGATGAGCAAGTACCAGCACTCACCAGCCTGAAAATGAGATGGTGGGGGGTGGGGGGTTGCACGCAAATGTATCAGCGATGGATATCAGGAGTATTCGTTTTGAAAATTTTTTTTATTTGATTGAATTTACAAAAAACAATAATTCTATCGCAAATCATCCTGAAGCACAAAAAAGCACAGCGAGATTTGTTTTGCTTGTTCCAATCCTGGGACACAATCCTGGGGATACTATCCTGGGGCATCAGTGGGTTTCTGCAATCTATCGTTTTTATAACGTGTTTGAGTCAGTATTCAAAATCAAAAGACATACACAGAAAAATGACATGCTTACCGTTCAAGAGTTTCTCGTCATTTGTTAAGATAGCCCTACAAATAGACAGCAGCACACTTGGAGAGGAAAAAAGATTGCATAGCAGCAACACAAAAGGAGTCTTTAACTTACCAGCAGTGTACACTCTTCTTTAAGCGTTTAAAGCATAAGCTAATAATATTAATGTTGATATTACTATGATTTTATACTTACCTTTAATTTTGATGGACTTACCTGACTCATTTCGTCTCCAATAATGTAATACTTTTAGTACATTGTTAATCAACCATCTAATGCTGACACATTACCTTTATATTTAGCAGTTGTTAAACATCCTATATTAATAATCTAAAGAGATTAGTAATAATATGCATGCCAAGAAGTGTCGAAGACTCTGAGATGAAGAATAATAAGTTATGCTCAATGCCTCAGATGAATAACGCATGCCAAGACCAAGAAGAAAAAAGCCAAGAAGAAAAGCTTGCTGAGTCAGATTACGCGTGCGTGTTGCTGCTTAATAATAAATCGGAGTTGTTCCTCTTCGTCTTGGCGAATCAGAACAATATATAAAGAGCAGCTTATGCAAATATGCTCTTCCTCAATTCTTACTTCTCTTAAGCAAAATGTCACATCAAACACAAAACATGT